AAAAAAAAAAAAAAAAACAGACAGCAAAACAAAACAAAATGGCCAGGGGAGCCGCTACAGCTTAGCCAATCAAGTATGAAGAATTTTAGGAAATGTAGATATCACAGGAACCATGATAAGGCCTGAAACACGAAATACAATCATTTCTTAGTAAAATAAGAGTTGAAATTAAGTTAATGCTTATTTTAAACTTGGTATAGAAACGTTTCTATTAAAGACTTCTACAATCTCGTATTAAATACCCATGTTAATATTAATACCCATGCTTACCTCATGGAAAGAACATGAAAGAAGCCAGAAACACGAGCAAGGGGTTTCGTTATTGCGCATGCACCAAACAGTCCAAAAATTACCTGCAACTTGTGAGTCGCGCCCCTCGTCCATTACAACCTTGGTCAGCAGTTGGGGGTACAAAGAAATGAATTGAGCGTACATGTGACATGTTAACGAAGTGTCCGGTAACATGCTACAAAGAGATACAAAATAACAACTTATGAAATATTGTCACTGCTCAATGACAACAAATAGAGGAGAATAAAATGAAAATTAGGACATTGAGATGAAAACTTGGACTCTCATTCTTGCATAGAACTTTAAGTGAAACATTAAGAGATATCATTAAACAAAGACAACTACTGCATACGATTGTAAATTGTGGAACCAATGAACCGGAAGTGAACCAACGTGACAAGCACCATGCACGACAAACGTCACGTGAGCGAAGCCAAGATTGGTTAAAATCTGCATCTGAACGATCGATAATCTTGCTAGTTATCAATAATCAAACGTTGAAGAGCTTTTAAAGCGAATCGTTCAGCTCCTTTGAAAGTCAACAAAGTCAAGGAAAACAGTGTTTTAAGACTTGTTGATTTGTAGGTTTAAATAAGATTAGGCGTCAGTTATCAGTTATTTTATTGAAAAGACATGTGCAGATCTCATCAAAACTAAATCTCAATCGCATCAAATGATGTCAGCTTAACAACAAGAAAAACGGATACATACAAAATGATGCAACTTACTTATATATTTCTATTTTTGATGTGAAATCAGCTTCACTGTCAGCCGTAGCTGGCGACTAGAACGAACAACTTGCTGGAAACGGCTACTGCTCGCTAAGAAGAAAAAACAATAAACAGAAACGATGACAGAACATGAGAGAAAAAATAAGACCAGACAAAACAAAAACAAGCAAGAAATAAAACTAGCACAAGAATTTATCGGTTTTTTCCCAAGTTCCATTCAGGTAAAGGGAACTTTGTTTCCCTTGCAAAATCTGTCAAGTCAATCAACTTGAGTTAGTTTTATTGAACTCACACAAGAGAGAGTATTAAAATCATTAAAATTAAAAACTAGCATTGATAACACAAATCGAAAATAATTTTAAATTTTGTTATTAGAAACGAAAAGAGCAAGAGATAAAGGAGAACACGGTTGACAACTAGTATAGATACAGTGTTAATTGTGTGGAGTTTGGGACACTGAAATAGTTTGTGTAAATACTCTACAACATTGATTGACCTGTTCCCATTTATGTAACAAGTCCATTTCATTAGCGTTCAAAAGCACGTTCGCAAGCACAAGAAATCATACAAATACTTAGAAATTCAAACGCAAGCAAATATATCATATTTCTAGGGCTGTCTTTTTGCAGGCATTCCGAAGTGTACGTTTCGACTGTTGTGACTGGACCTAATGTTGATTACTATTTATTTTAGAGTCAAATAAGAACTCTCAGCTCTTATTCTTACATATAAAAAACTGTTAGTAGAAGCCTCGTCCGCAGTTTTTCATCCTTTTTATTGGATGTTCCTGTTCAACTGAAATTTAGTAACACAGGATCCAGTTTACGTTCACTTAAAGAATATGGGCCTTTTTCGTTCGGGCGGTTTGTTTTCTTAATAATAATAATAATAATAATAATAATAATAATAATAACTTTATTTAAGTGTCAGGGTAGGTGTTTAGCTTACAGAAGCTAATTGGGGACACTACTACGTTAC